CCGGACAACTTTGACGAAGTCATTACGAACAGCGGCAAGCCTGCTCTTGTCAAGTTTTTTGCAGTATGTATCTTTCTTTCTTTCTCGAGTGGCAATTAAAGCTCTGGCTGACGGATGGTGCGTGTGAATGTAGCCATGGTGCGGACGTGAGTGACCAACGATACAATTGAGTGCGGCACAGCACGGCATGACGCCGTGCATTGAGTATGGTAGTATTGACGGTAGATTGTAGACTGCAAGAACCTCGCACCGGTGTACGAGGAGCTCGGTGACGCCTACGCTGCACATAAGGATAAAGTCGTCATTGCCAAATTGGATGCTGACGGTACGCATACAATTCTGCCTTCTCATACTTCCCAAATATCGTCCCATTCCGATAGTATCTGGTAAACTCGAATATATGGCTAATGTGCTTCGTCTCTCGTCGATTGATATGAAATATAGCCCACCGAAAACTCGGGCAGAAGTTCGACATCAAAGGCTTCCCGACGCTCAAATGGTTCGACGGCAAGTCCAAGGACCCTGTCACCTACGACAGCGGCCGCACACTCGAGGCTCTGACAGAGTACGTCTCGAAGAAGACGGGCATCAAGCTGAAGGGTGGCGCGAAGAAGGATGTCCCGAGCCCCGTCAAGGTGCTCAGTGACGCGAACTTTGAATCCACGATCAAGGATAACAACAACGTGCTGGTCAAGTTCTACGCACCATGGTGCGGACGTATGTCTTCCCACCGCCCACTCTCTCCGCCGCGTTCTGGACGACGTGCTAAACATTATACTTATCATCATAGACTGCAAGAGTCTGGCTCCGAAATACGAGAAGGTTGCCTCCGCTTTCGTCCGTGAGCCGGATGTCGTCATCGCCGAAATCGACTGCGACTCGCCGGGTGCTAAAGCCACTTGCGAGAAATACGGCATCACCGGCTACCCGACCCTCAAGTTCTTCGACAGTTTCCATACCGACGGTGTAGCCTACGATAGCGCCCGCGAGGAAGCCGCCATGATCGACTTCATCAACGAGCGCGCAGGCACCCACCGCACCCCTGGCGGCGGACTCAACGACAAGGCTGGCCTCATCGAGCTTTTCGAAGAGGTGCTCACAGCTAAGCTACCGAATGACATCGCGTCGCTCACGGACGATCTGAAGGTCGCCGCAAACCTTGTGATCGAGAAGGGTACCATCAAGTACAAGGATTACTATATCAAGGTTGCGACTAAGATGCAGGAGAAGAAGAACTATGTTGCGGACGAGCTGGCGCGGTTGACCAAGATGGTCTCGAAGGGCGGGTTGCATGCGGATAAGGTGGACGATATCACTAAGCGGGTTAATATTCTGAAGCGCTTCCAGGAGGGTACGGCGGGTGGCGATGCCGATGCTGCGAAGAGCAGCGCACCGGTCAAGGATGAGTTGTAAGTAAGTGGTGCGTGTACGTACGTCGCATTGGAGCGTATTGCATATATAGGTGGTGATCTGCCGTGCGGTCTGGTTTATGAGACCAGTGGTGATGATAGCGGGCGTGAGGTGGAGAGATCTTAGGATCTAAAAGTGTATTTATGAGCGGTGCAGAGTGTAGAACTATGATGCAGCGTAGCATTGAGACACATCTTATTTGAGCACGCCCTTATCAGAATTAAGATGAGCAATTAGAACGAGCAAAGACTGATTGAGATTATATTACCTCCGCTAATGTATTGTCTGTCGACTGACACCAAATACCTGCGATATACATTAAAGTATACTAGAAACGCCAAACGCTATGCATCATCCATCTCCCCTCAAAGCCACCAGACAGATCAATTTCAGGCTGTGGCCTTCAAGGTATGATGTAGTTCTGGATAAAGCCAGTCCGCCGACCATATCGTCAGACAATTTACGCAACTCGCCCCTCAGCCTGCATCTGCCATATTTATATAGAGCGCTGGATCAAACTATTAAAGTTGATCTTTTGTTTCAGCAGCGGCGGCGGACGCTACGTCACTCCCGCCTTCCTTCTTCTCGGCCTCTTCGCCGTTCTCTGTTGTATGCGCGGCAAGAATGTTCTGCTCGAGGGTGTCGAGGCGGGTGGAAATCTCGTCGACTGCATTTGGTAGGATCATACAATCTATACGTTAGCATAGGCTTCTAGCATATAATCTACGGCATGTGTACGTAGTATATGGGGATTCTGGACTCACGTCGACCAAAGAACTCCTGCGAGGCGGTGTTGAATTTATCCGTTAGCTTGTCGATGGCCGTGTTGATGTCGGCGATGACCTCGTCGACGGACTGCGGGTGTGACGACGGGGCGCGGGAGCTGGTCGAGGAGCCCTGCTGGCCGTTCATGAGGGATGTCGCTGAGGAAGAGAAGGGCTTCATCGTGGCGGCGGCTGTTATATCGGTTGGTTGGATATGGCGCTATAGCTATCGATAATCGAAATCCAGGGGAAGGAAGGTGTGCAGTAGCGGTTTATTTATATATCCAGAGCGGGGGTTGGCGGCAGCATAGAATGCAACGTAGCTAGAATGCGTGCCCCACAGCTAGTCAGCTAGTCAGTCTGGACGGAGGGTTTCGACCTCGTCGACGGCGGGTCGCGATGCGATGGGGAAGTAGTACTAATATCGGCTATCGACAAGCTGGAGCTTGGAAGTTGATCTGACGTCTGGCTCTTGGCGATATAAACCAACGCGAATCGGCCGGCAGCACCGGCAATGGCCACCAGAATTAATACCACTCCCTCGACGCGACTACATCGCACCTATCATTTCCGAGTCCTCCCGGACAGATACCAACTACCCCGCGATGGCGCTCGAGTCTCTTCCCTACGACGTCTTCTTCCGGCTCCTCAGCGCTGTCGAAGACAAGGCCGACCTCGACCGATTCTGCGCCGCGCTGCCCCTCAGCGCCGGCGCGATTATTGCCGCGGACAGAACCATCGTCGACAGACTCTACTGGGCGGAGATTCAGGAGCATTTTCTCGAGTCTGCTACGCTGCTAGCTCATTTGCTCGACCCGCATCGAGAGGTCGCTTTAGAGCTGCTCGCGAAGCTTTACGCCCGCGACGAACAGATCAACAAAAATGCCGCTAATGACAACGACGATGATGATGACGATGACGATGATGACAACGACGACGATGACGAGCTCGACCCTGAATCGGCGTTCCTTCCGCTAGCTCCGCCGATGTCGCACGACATATCACTACCAGATGATATAAACGCCGATACTGCAAGGCAAATGCTATCTCTCCACCGCTGCGCCGAGCGCCTGGCGGAAATCTACACCACCTATGCGCTCCGCAAGCACCATCCACCCCCGTCGCAATACCGCTCTGCGACTGGCGATGAGCGCCGCCGCGCCATACGCGCGGTATATAACAGCTGGGTTGCGCTGTCGGAGCACCGCTGCCGAATCGAGCTGGAGTTCATGCAGAAGCAGAAAGTAGCACCCCCGGAAATTGTCGACGCTAGGTGGCGTGTGCATAGTATGGTGACCTGGTCGTGGTCGTTCTGGGAGGTGAAGGAGGCTGCAGTGGTGGGAAACGTGCTGTTCCGGGAAATACCGCGGCAGATTGTTGAGGAGGCGACGGGCGTGGAAGAGTGGTGGAAGAAGAAGAACTGGGTTTTGAAGGGCATCGGTGAGGGTATGTATCTGTATATATGCCGTGCAGCTACCTCCCATATCGATATGCTAACATGATATCTATAGCTACGAAGTTACGCATCAACAATGCCACACACATCCTCGATATGCTATATACACCTACCACCTACGACATGCGCACACACGTACGCTTCCTCCGCAGCCGGGGAGACCCTCAAGCAGCTGCCGCCTTCCTCGCCGAGGCTCTATCTTCCGACGACGTCACGCGGATGAACAAGCTCGCCGGCGGCCTGGACCCCTACGGCATCGCGGGGATGAACCTGCTAGATGAAGTTGACCGAAAGCTCGCGACGAGCACGACAACCAGCCACCTGCGCGAGGTCTGGGGCACCCTGTTCCGCAACACCATCACCGATTTCTTCAACGCGCCGTCGGCCCGGCGGCTGGTGAGGGGCGGCAACGCGGTGCTCGGCGGCCCGAAGCTGCTTGAGCAGGCGGACACCGGGACGGTGATTGGCCCCGGTGGCGTGCGTGATGCCGTGGCGGGCTTGATGTCAGCGCAGGTCATCAGGAACTGGACGACAGCCGATGTCGTGGTGTTGGAAGATTGTTTGTGGGATGAGTGGCGGTTGGGAGGGTGGGGATATGGGTTTCCACTGTTTGTGGGCGGTGAGCTGCACGATAAAGTAAGGAGGTCGCTGCAGTTATTGGGGCGTTTGGGTACGTGATTGGGGGTGCATCTCTACGATTGGATACGTCTATCTAGATTAATTATTCTTCATGGCAGGCGTATATTTCGGAGTACCGGGTGTATTTGGATGCGTCTATGTCAGCTCGAATTTGTGGGTCGCTGCGTTTTTAGGATATGATGGTCTTATGAAATTTACGCTGCTTTGACTCGGTGACTATAACATCAGTTGTACAACATGGAAGTTCGCTACATGGTAAGAGCGTCAGCTGCAACATTGTTATCATTCTCCTTATAACCATAAGTGGTTTCGAGGCTGATAAGCTATTACTGCCTGTCGAGCATGGACTGCATGCATGAATAACAATATAATTTTGCCATCGGTTTAGCCTCGAAGCCAGGCGCTGAAGGGGCAGGGCAACCCATCGGCTAGACAAACAATGTCGCTGTTTAGATATCAATATATTTCTGACAAATGGACGGATTTCTTACGTGTCTACATACCTTAGTTACAAAAAATCCTACTTGAGATCGGAGATAAAAATTGCGTGTAACACGATAATCTTATTTTCCAAGCTGGGCTTTCCGGACCCTCGATGGTTATCAATCGTTTCTTGAGACCGAGACTATGCCCGGCTTGTAATGATCTCTCGTAGCATACGCGTATACGCTCAGTCTAAAAAAGCTTATATACACCTTTTTTCCTTCAGCACGCATCAAACCAGTAACTGAGCGGTTATGGTTTAGTGGTATAATTCTCGCTTAGGGTGGCTCTTCGAGCTCGATATGCGAGAGGTCCCAGGTTCGAGCCCTGGTAACCGCCAGCATTTCTCTTTTTGCTCTGTGGAGAGCTATATCAGCTTAGATTTTTCCTTTTGCCTCTTGTGGTGGTGGAGCGAGGTCGATTAGGTGGTACAGACTTGTTGCTGGCTACGACATCATCAGCATCTCAGATATCGATATCTATGTGATGAATTATAAGAGTACTATCTTTTTCGCCTTTTTGGCATACAAATTACCCCTAAATTTTGTCTCGTGAAACCAGACGCCGTACTTTGGCCCGCTTTACTAAAAATATTTCTAGACAAAGTCGCGAATCGTTTGTAAAAAAAGCAGTCCGTTATAAGACCCTCGCCACTCGGCCTGAAAACCCATGATTTTATCGTAAGATACGTATCTTACCTTCGAAGCAAGACGGTATCTGCTTAAGGTATCTTGTCGATTATATATCGTCCAGGGCCGTGAGTTGTACAAATAGGCCCTGCAATCGAACTCGAAGCTTACTTGCTTCCCCGTCTACATGTTTGCAGGTACGCGGCCAATGAGAATCACTGTTATGGTTTAATCTCCGCAAGTTGAGGCTCGTTGCGGTTTGACCCCACGCGAGACCACAGCTGGGAGATTTACCGCGTCTCTTGATGCCATCGACTCCCTGATCTAATTAACTCGGATCTATCACGACATATGCATCTCCACATTATTGATTCAAATGGATCGCTGGCCCGATAGCCAAGATTACACCATAGGCTGGGTGTGCGCCTTACCCCTGGAGTTGACTGCAGCAGTCGCCATACTAGATGAACAACATCCACCGCTACCACAAGATGAACTGGACGACAATGTCTACGAGTTTGGCCGGGTGGGCCAAAGTAACATCATCATCGCCTGTCTTCCATCCGGGGTCTACGGCGTAACGTCAGCGGCAACTGTTATTGCCCATATGCGTAGGAGTTTTCCATCCATCAAATCTTGCCTAATGGTTGGCATCGCGGGCGGAGCGCCAATGCTACCTCAACGTGATATCAGACTAGGCGATGTGGTTGTCAGCGAGCCGGTTAAAGGCTTTGGAGGGGTCTTGCAATACGACTTTGGAAAAACAGTGCAAGAGGGCCGCTTTGTTCAAACAGGAGTCCTCAACAAGCCGCCTAAGATCTTCCTCACAGCGCTAGCCAAACTCAAGTCAGAGAATCTATTGCAACAGCAGAGCGGTACTGATGATATCCCACCGATTCCTCAAGAGTTTTCCCGTCCACAGAAAAATAGTGATCAGCTATTCCAGACGCATTATGACCATCCTCCCGAAAATTCTTCTTGCGATCAGTGCGATTCTGATATGGTGGTTGAAGGACCACCTCGAGCTCGCGCACACGATCAACCGTACGTTCATTATGGACTAATCGCATCCGGTAATCAGGTCATGAAACATGGAAAGACCAGGGATCTCTTAGCACAGGAGAAAGAGGTTTTGTGCTTCGAAATGGAAGCTGCAGGACTGATGGATGAGATGCCCACGATGATCATCCGAGGTATCTGTGATTATTCTGATAGTCACAAAAATAAATTATGGCAACCTTACGCGGCATTTGCTGCCGCTGCTTTCGCGAAGAAGCTTTTATCAAAGCTACCACCCAGAGGTTAGACTGATTCCATCACGAGTTTCTAAAATTTTCCGTCTACATCGTTATTGCTAGATCCTGACCGGACGACTCACTGATCCGCTTTGGACTCTATAGCGAATGATGAAGGCGAACAAATAAAAAGATCTCGCCTTAATCTGCCTTTTGCTGAAGGGGCAGTGTTTGGAAGTTATGCTGACCAACATGAGTCGGAGTGCCTACCGGGAACGAGGGTCGACCTTCTCAACCAAATAACAGAATGGGCGGATGATCCAGAAGGGAAAAGCATGTTCTGGCTAGTTGGTAGGGCCGGGACGGGGAAATCCACCATCTCTCGAACAGTGGCAAGGTTCCTACAGGGAAAAGGCTGGCTTGGAGCAAGCTTCTTTTTCAAGAGAGGCGAAGCTGATCGCAGCAGGAGTGCTCTCTTGTTCACTACGATCGCCCATCAACTCGCAGCTCATTCACGCTATTTGGCATTTTATATCCAAAGAGCTCTCCAAGAGGATCCCGATATCTCTAGAAAGGCGCTGAAAGAGCAGTTCGATAAACTCGTCCTGCAACCTCTTCTCGAAATCAAGCCCGCATCTCGCAGAGCGAGATTAGTACTACTGATTGATGCTTTGGACGAATGCGACCAAAAAGAGGACGTAAAGGTCATCATCCACTTACTAGGTCACCTTAAGAATACAAGAAATGCAGATGTGAGAGTCTTCTTGACAAGCAGGCCAGACCTTCCAATTCGTCCCGCTTTCAAGAGGCTACCCGACGGAACATACAAGTCTTTGGTATTGCATGAAGTGCCGAGCATCAGGGACGATATATTGCTTTTTATGAAGGACGAGATGTCCAAAATACAGGAAGAACATGAGCTTGCAGGAGACTGGCCAGATGATGAGGACGTTCAAAAGCTAGTCGAGATGGCGGTGCCACTCTTTATCTATGCGGCAACACTCTGCCGGTTTATTGGAGACGAGGATTGGGATCCCAACGAGCGAATCAAGATGGTTCTTGAATACCGGACCGGCTGGCAGGCGTCGCAGCTCCACAAAACATATCTTCCAATTTTGGACCAGCTATCCGTCCGTCAAAACGCAGTTGAGCATGAAAGGTTCATCAAAGAATTTCGACAAATAGTCGGGGCAATTGTAAATCTTGCGAGCCCGCTGTCCATCTCATCCTTAGCGTGCCTCTTATCCGTTTCAGAAACCATCGTTGAGAACAGGTTAAAGCCTCTACACTCCGTCCTCAACGTGCCCAGCAGCCGCTTCACCCCTGTCAAGGTATTCCATGCATCTTTCCGCGACTTCCTCCTTGACCAAACTCTCCAGGGGAAGAGTCAATTTTGGATCGACGAAAAGGATTCTCATCGAATGATCGCAAGCAGTTGTATCGAACTCATGTCCGGCCCTAGCGGTCTCAAGCGGAATATCTGCAATCTTGAATCGCCTGCAACTTTACAGTACCAGTTTGACAGATCGCTTATTGACGTCTATATATCATCGGAGCTTCGATACGCTTGTCATTATTGGGTATACCACTTAATAAAAGGTGGACATCTTGTGGTTGAAAATGATCATGCGCACAAGTTTCTCCAAGAACACCTGCTGCATTGGCTTGAGGCAATGAGCCATCTCAAACTCCTAGTCGAAGCTTTGAATGCAGTCAATGCTTTAACTTCCATCATAGACGTAAGTATATATACTTGGTTTCTATGGCTCAAGATAAAACCTGACAAGATATTTGTTCAGAATGCGGATGGCGAAACTGTGCGCACTCTAGTTTATGACATAAAGCGATTCATCCTTCGGAATCGATATATCATCAACGAGGCTCCTCTACAACTCTATTACTCAGCTCTTGCTTTCTTACCCACAAAAAGTCTTCTAAGAAAGATATTTGACCCGGAGAAGACGATTGTAGAAGTGTGCGATCTACCGAAGGTTCAGGAGGAGTGGGACCCTTGTCTGCTGATATTGGAACCCTCTGATGGGTACGCCTGGTCTCGTAAACGGTACACCTGGGATATAGCATTCTCTCCTAACAACAAGCTTCTAGTGTCGTCAACTGGCCGTACAATCAAGCTATGGGACACAAATACTGGAGCGCTGCTACAGACAATGGAGCTGCATGGAGGTTATATTTCGAGTGTGAAATTCTCTCCTGATGGCAAATCAATGGCGTTGGTATCCTACGAAGATTTTAACTTCAAGCTTTGGGACTATGCTGCTGGTACTCTGCCGCAAATACTGGAGGGACATACGCGATCTGTCACCGACGTATCATTCTCTTCTGATGGCCGATTTTTGGCATCAGCATCATATGATCGGATAGCAATATTGTGGAATGCAGTCACAGGCGAGTTACTGCGGAAGTTTGAGGGACAAGTTTACGCTGTCAACGCTGTATCTTTCTTCCCTGACGGTAAGCTTGTGACGGCATCGTCATCAAACGGGGAAGTCAGACTATGGGATGCCTCTACAGGGTGCCTGTTACAGACCTTAGTCATAGGGGACCATCGAGGGTGGCGTACGGTAACACTCTCCCCTGATGGCAAATCCATGGCAGCATTCAGGGAGGATTGGAGAGCGCAGTTGGAACTATGGTGTACTATGACGGGGAGGCGGTTGCGGGCAATACAAGTTGGAAATGGACTCGAGACTATAAAATTCACCCCTGGTGGTGAATCCTTCGCTCTGGGTTTTAACTATAGCAAAGTCGAACTATGGGAGGCAAGAGATTGTCGAGTCGAAGCGCGGCCGCAGACGTTTATGGGACATGTAGGGGATATAATTAAGGCTGTTGCATTTTCTCGTGATGGCAAGCTTCTGGCATCCGGGTTGCCTGATGGAACAATCAGGATTTGCGACACCAGCATCAAGATGTCAGTTCCAGCCCCGGACCGGCACTCGAATTCAACCTGCGGCTATGAGTGCCCATGTTCACTCTTCAGAGCGATCCGGCGATATCAAACATACAGAAATTATTTGCGCGAACTAAAGTTTTCCCCCAATGGCAACCTCTTGACTTCGGAAGCAACCGGCGGGATGATTACACTCTGGGAGACGGCTTCTGGAACGGCGATACGGAGCCTGGATTGGTATGACACCCGAAATGACTTCGGAAACTCCTCAGTCGACTCAGAATCTCTGGTGATGCACCCGTGGATATTTCAATGCACGACGTTAGCCTAGGTTCCCACCATTCTCGGATGTTGTGGAGTATTATTGATACTGCGGACACGCCGTCAAAGACAATTGAATTGAAGAACCATATGTGGACTACGGTTTGTTCCAAAAACCAGGTTGTGGAATTTTCTCTTGGTTCCGGGACTCTGGCTCGTTCTCACCGTATCGATCTTTTGGACGCAGATACGGGTGAACATTTCGAGGTGTTACGAGGTCATCAGTCCACTAAGTCCGTTACC